GATGAGAGTTGGTTGTATGGCCTCACTCTACCTGAGGTGTTTCTGTATAGGGCATTCAGGATGTTCAAAAACTTCTCAGATACACCCCTTTCTAAAAGACAGCTTCAGAGACAGTTCTGTCCAACAAATCGAAAACAGACCTAATATCAAAAAACACAAAGATTGTTGGCCTGCATTACGTATGGTGGTGTTCTAACAACTGATGTATGGTCAACACATGATCACTGCATCCACGACCTGAACGAAACCCAACCTGTTCATCGCAAATCAGCCCCTGACGTTTTTTGCACAGCCTGAAAAGCAAGACAACAGAGAATATTTTAGACGCATCTGGTGGCAGACTGATACCCCTATGACTGTCACGTGAGTTACGTCGACCCTTTTTTAAAGATGGGTACGATAATAGCTTCATTCCGCACTGACGGTATATTCCCAGTCATCCATAATTTCCTGAATAATCCAATTAAAGCCATGATAAGAGTCTCGCCACTATCCGTAAAAAGAGCCAGGGGTAGTTTTTTGGGTCGGATGCCTTATGCTGTTTCAGCACTTGGAGTCCCTCGCGGACCTCCGCTTCGACTGGTGGGTGGTTACTGGCCGATCAGGGAGCACTAGAGATGGTGACGGTGGGTACTGAAGCTCGTTGCCAGCTAAACTGCTTCTCGAAGTGCTCTGCACAGTGTTCCAGGCGTCTTTTCGGGTCGGCAATTGGCGTACCATCTGCCTCAGAGACAGTCTGGCTGACAATTTGTTTCTTTCTGTAGGTGGCTCAGATGAGCTGGAACAGCTTCCGACTGTTGCCAGATGCAGCAGCTAACTCTATCTCACACGCACGTTCTGACCACCTGACTTCGCAGTCCTTAAGTGAACACTGTCTAATCTTCCGCGTAAGCGCCTTTCGCATATTCCTGTAGTCGCTGCCAGCCGGAATGGATCCGCGTTCATCCAGGAGTTGCAAGGAACCCACTCCCAGCAGTTTTCAGCGCTTAGTGCGACACCGACACCAGCTACGCCGGATACCGACGCTACAGGGTTCCCGGACAAGCGCAGGTGGTACATACTATTAGAACTTTCAGATGGAAAGGATAAGCGAAACACTTCCCTGAGAGCTCAAATGTGGGTCTCCGAAACGCAGCAGACATCGACAGTGAGGCTTTCCAAACCTGCCTGCTATCCGATTTGCATCAGTGTCCGAAAACTGAAGGTGGCAAGCTTGAACACGGCACGCGGTTTCACGATATCTTATTTAGTTGTCGCACTGGGGACAACCATTTTGAAGGCTACTCACCAACATACGGGACAGACAAGCTGGGAATTTAAAAAAAGGCGAAAAGCTGACGTATATATATATATACTGGAGGACTGATTCCTATTGATGAACAAGAGTATGTTGAAGGTATATTAACACTCGTTTTATCAAACTGTTACAGGTTGTACGAAAATGGAGAAAACTTGTGAATTGAAACGGATTCGTGATATTCTGTACCAATAATTGTTATTTGTTTTTTTTGGGGGGGGGTGGGACATCACAGTGACAGTAGGCAGCTTTGTCTTACTTCTGACATCAAATCGCACACTTTAGTGAGCTTCCCGCTGTGAATCACTTGGCATGCAGCATCTTAACATAGCTGTTGAATGTCTACTGATATCCGCAACACTACACCTCGTAGTGTTGAATCAGTTACCAAATCACCTCGCGGTTGACGCTATCAGAGGACTTCTTCTTAAGGTTAATAAAATTGAGGTATACAGTTGATTGTCATTCTCGACTTTTTCGATGATGATGATGATGATGATGGATAGTGTTCGCGCAAGACATTTTGTTTAACTTAGATTGTTTCGCTTTATCTTTATATTGAAATAAAATTGTTAATTAAAATTTCCCAGATTTTCGGTGACTTCAATTGTCAGTTAGTAAAAATTACTGGCAAAGAAATATCTGTTCTTCTTGTTCTCCCATGACATGACATATATATGCCCACTTTTCCTCGATAATTTCCTAAGCATTAAAAAAACCTAACGAAGTCATTATGAAATAAAGTGGATTCATGTGCCATTTAAATGAACTTCAGATAAGCAACACAGGAGTTATAATCAACAATTAATGGATACTAAAAAAAGTACCCCACAATTAGCTCTGTTCTCTAAGCTGGTCGATTTGTGGTGAGAGCTGGCTGTCAGCCAAAATTGGTGGACAGTAATTTACATCAATGTTTATGTCCCCAGTATTGGTCGTGAGAAAAATGAGAACAAAAGCTTTGCATAGACGGATGCAGTTAACATATAGATGATCTAACATTCAAGAAACAGCCACAAAGAGATGTAAGGTCAACTTTCTGTGAGAAACAGCCAAACAGAAGACTGTGTTTTTCTGCTAACAGTAACCTATGATATGTACATGAAAATCCATAAATATGCGCTGATTTCCTTAATAAACGATCTGTTGCCTGGCCCTTGTCCTCTGTTGCTACAGGTTTAATTGCGGAGCTTTTGTCGTCCTTCTGAACAACATCTTCAGCACAAGTTTTGACAAAAAATGAACTGATTTAAATTCCCCATGAATGAGAAAATCGCATCTCCCGGTAACCATTGTTACATGTGTATTGACCATTTTTTATTGAGTTGGATTTTAAACTTTCTCGTCACATTGTTTACGTTTCATTAGCTGGTATATTTGGTCTATATTAACATGTTTGTTAATCACATATTCGTTTGAATACCAGGCTACTAGGAATTCTCTGCCGATGTTTAGAATTTCAACATTATCCCGATCAAATTAATATCCACAATTATCTACATGAAAGAATATATATCATGTCTTTTCAAACACACTGTAACACTTCAGTTTTGAAGAGAATGGGGGAAAAATACTTACTAACTGTCTTCAAAAAGAATGGATATCCTCACAATTTCATCAGTGTGTAAAATCGAGTCACAACACCAGTAAGAAACCAACATCAAAGACTACAAGAAAATTCATCCTGCCATATATAAAAAATATCCCTGAAATAACAGCTTGAATATTAAAACCGTTTGAAATAGATATAGAACATAAGCTAGTCCAATCACTTCATTCGATATTGTGCATACCAAAAGATCCAACAGAAAAAGGAGATAAAATTAATACCACTTACAAAATAAATTGTATGAACTGTAACAGACATTACATCGGCCAAAGTGGGCGTCCCCTTCGAGTCAGAATCCAAGAACACAAAGACATGATATATATTCCTTCATATCAATGCATGTAGATAATTGTGGACATCCGAGGGAGAGGGCTCTCGAGTGGTTGCGCCACAGGTTGATCCTGCATGCCGTTCTCGTCTCGCAAGAGGCAAGGATGTGTGTGTTTGGTTCTCCTGAAAACCAATACCCAGTCAATGGGTGTATCGTGGTGTGAATACAGGCTGGGGTCCTCGGGACGCTAAAAACAAATGGTTGGAAACAATTGGTGACGTGGCTCAAAATCGTTCTCAGTGGCGGGCGCAGATGCATCCACTCCTTGTGACTTATGATCTCCAATGAAACTGTTTTGTTCTTCGTTATTACTCTTCCTTTGTCTCACACCTCTGCTCACTGTCTCTATTATGCTTTTCTTGTACTTTCTTCTCTTGCTTCGCGTGCTACACGGAGTGTGGCGACTTGAACTTCCGCACCTTTGTGCAAAGTTCTATGTCGAAAACAGACAGACAATTTGATTGGGATAATGTCGAAATTTTAAAAAAAGGAAACACCAAAAGTACCAGAGAAGTCTTAGAAACCTGGTACTCAAGCGAATATGCGATTAACAAACATGTTAATATAGACCAAATCTACCAACTAATGAAAAGTGAATCATGTAACGAGGTTCCGAATCCAAGTCAAAAAAATGATCAATAAAGATGTAAAGATGGTTACCGGGAGACGCAATTCTATCATTCATGGAGACTCGGTGGCACAGCGGTTAGGACTCTCCCCCGGCCACGCACATGGTCCGCGGTTCGATCCGCGATAGATGCACACGTGATATCAATGGTCGGCCCGCTAAATTTGGGCTACCGATATCACATGCTGAAGATTCCATACTTGTACCAAAATACTATGTGGAATCAAGCTATAATAAAAGTTTTTAAAATAAAAAATATTTAAATCAGTTCATTTTATGTCAAAACTTGCGCTGAAGATGTTGTCGAGACGGACGATGAAAGCTCTGCAATTAAACCAACCAGCTCAAAGAAGACAACTAATTGTAAATCATCCACTTGAGCGACAAATCTTCTCTATTCTAATACCCCACACTTTGATTTGATCAATATAATTATCAGTACATATAAACCGAAATGCAGATTACTACCCTGACGCAACTGAAACAAAGTTAACAATTACACTGCTGAAGTATTCATTTTTCTGGGGGGAAATAATATATATTCACATACTTGGTACTATTCATTAAAAGAAGGGAATGATTTTAAAAACTGGACCAAAAGCATACATATTACAACTGCTAAAGTTAACAGTACTTTATTTGATGACTAAGAAGTTAAAGTAAACAAGACCACATGAATATTTATAAAAAACATGAAATATTTTGTACAAAGAGTTGATTGACTGAAGACTACTGGTTTTAGGGGAGACAATGGAAGACTGACAAAAGTCTATGTGTAAGAGAGAAATGTACAAGACTTGGGATCTAGTAATTGTGAAACAAAAGAAGGAAAAAAAACATCTCCAAAAGCAACTGTAACAGCATTCGTAGCAGTAATAAATTATAAACAAAGTATTGCAAATATGGACTTGAATTCGCCATATCAATAATCTTTGTCACATAACACAGAACGCAAAACAAAAGGAATTTGGACAATAGACTAGTAGTAACCATAAATTATAAATCATAAATTTCACAGAATTCAACTGCATCTGTTCTACGAACAAAAACATCTTTCGTTCCAAAGTAAACAAAATATTAGGGAAATATTACAGAAAATTAAACTCAGTGAAGACCCAGAGTTATAAAATATCAGTTAACTCGGAGAAGTCACACGATTGCATTCACCTGATATCCGATGATCAATAACTCTCGAAGATTCACTCGAGTTTATTGATGAATGTAATGTGGTTTTTAGGACATTTTCTGATTTACTCGAGTGAGTTCCATGCGTTGTAGAATCAGTTTTCGACGCCTGAGAACATTCGCCCATAAATGCTGATTGTTGATCTTCATTTGTATCTGTAGGCAAGCTTTCATCTTCATCATCTCCATCAGAGCCATAATACTCATCGTCACCATAATCGGACAAACCATCTAAGTCGCCAGATTGATGACAAAATGCTCTTGAACTTGATTTACCACTCACACAATACTCTTCGACAGTTGTTGGAACAGTTATACCATCCTTCTTAGCCTCTTCATGAGTTGCTATAACAAGTGACCTAAAATATAGATATATTCACTAGGGTAATGAACACAAATAATGCATGATACACCCTAAACCGTATAAATTAACCCTGCCTAGTTCACTAGCTTGCTAGTCTTATAGCCGGTCCCAAGCCCGAGTGAAGAGAGAGAGTTTAGCGTGGAGCTAGCAACTCTACACCACAAGACCAATCAAACTGCTACGGGAACTCTAACACACAAAAAAAATATTAAAAATACGAGAGATATTAAAAGCAAACTTAGTTGTCGCTGGGATCGCAGAAGCGAGATGATAAAGTGGGTTGATGAAAGCCTTCGGGAAGCCAGTCAGCAGGCCGATGTGTCTTCCCTCGATGAAAGTAAGAATAAGAATGGGGATATGGAATGCACGCACAATGTACGAAGTCGGTTGGGAAGGCTATCTAGGTAGCCAATAAATGAGAAGTGCTGGGTATCTGCGAGAGCAGATAGAACGGATGTGGGCTAATGTAACTGTTAGCTGGTGAGTCAGTGATCAACTCCAGTCACCTAGACGACAATCACGAGCACACGATGTCACCAACAGTAGCCAACAGCTCTAATGCACTGGGAACCAATACCATCCAGCATCATGACAGCAAGGTTTAACTCAAAGGGAAGGAAGGAAATTTACAATTATCCAATGCTACGAACAGTGCTACAAACAACGTGGAACAAGAGAAGGAAGATTGTTACAGACAACTACAAGCAGTAAAGGACAATATCCCAAATGGTGACATCAAAATCCTTAAGGGCGATATGAATACCAGCCGAGCTGGGAGTAGGCAATACAGGAAGAGAGCTCATCATGGCTCGAGAGCCTCTCACTCGAGGAAATTAATGAGAAACGAGAACTCTTCGCAAACTTCTGCGCTTTCAATGATTTGATGATCGGAGGCAGCGTGTACAAGCATACAGATATACATAAAGCAACATGGATTTCGCCTGACGGACACACCACAAACCAGATAAACTTCATCTAGATGATGTTGAAGGAAGTGGAGACGCGGTCAGCCTGATAGACAGAAAGTCAAGAAAGGAACCAGACGTGGACTCACACTACCATCTAGTTCAAGGAACCTACCTACAAGGTGAAGCTGAAATCCTTCAGAACTAGAGACAGGTCACTGTAATTCAAGTTTAACATTCCGAAATTGAAGGACGAAACTACAAGGGATACCTTCATTGCAGATCAGATTAGAGCATAGTCGGAGACATTATGTCGCACCACCCAGGCAACCTGAGTGGAAGAACAGTGGAACTCTATGAAGGCGATATTCAAGGAAACGTGTACATCTGTTCTAGGAAGAAAGAAGAGAAAAGAGAAGATAAGGAATGGCTCTCAACAGACATCTACCTGGAAGCTAATCGAGGAGAGGAAGATGGTGAAAGGGAAGATGACTTAATGCAGAGATGCACAACAGAAGGAGAAGCTGAGTTCAATGTACATTGCACTGAACAAGGAAGTGAACAAGAGTGCTGGAAAAGACAGACAATTCTACAGCGCACTGGCCGGCAAATGAAGCAGAACATGCTGGTCGCAGGTAAATGAGACCTCAGAACATAATATCAGATAACTAGGTCTATTCGGATCCGGGAATAGATCAACCCAGATGATGAAAAAAATAAAACATATCCGTGGGGACCTGATTACTAAGGAGAAGAAACATATGAAACAATGGGCTGATCACTTTAAAGGACTCTTGAATCGCCCATCAACTGCAACTCGCCCAGAAATACCACCACTGAAAGCACGCATAGAAGTGCCTGCCAGTGGAGATCAATCGTTCAACGAAAGCAGGAATTCTGAATGTGATCAAGCTACTGAAGCCAGCCCAGAAGGTAGAAGGGCCAGACGAAACTCCCCAACACGAAGCCTTGAAAACGGACCCACTACGGTGTGCACTGCCCAAGTCTTTACCAACCTCTCAAATTACACAGGGTGACAGTAGTCAGATACAATTCACGGCTGTCGAACATACGGGATAAAAAACAACATCCGAATCGCATTAGGAATTATTAGAGGTATTAGTTGAGTTATGAATGGTCATAATTCTGGAGAAAACATCCAGAAGCTTGGAAAATTTCCAAAACAATCTGAATAACACGACGATTTGGAAACTGGTACTCATAGATACCGGAGCTTCAACTTTCTCACAACAGAATGAGGTGTAAGGAAGTCATTACACTCATGACCCAAAATACATTATTGCGGCTACGCCTTCGATACTGCATAAGTGAATAAAACATATTCAGTGTTTATTCAACTATTTTGGTAACTTGATAAAACGCATAGATATTAAATGACAAAACAGCCAAAACAGTCTGTTAATGAATTCTCCGGTATTTAGATTTAACTTTCCTACCATTAAAAACTGAAAATATATTATATCACAGCTTGCCAGATTACAATGAATCAAATGAACGCATTTATCTTGGGAATTCCGAACATTTATTGGACTAACTTGTTGGCTTTTGTAACGCCTATTTTTCTGTGTTTACAGATTTTGTTGTTGCGGACTTTGGCAACTTGAATAAATTCACCTTGTTAAGCTTTGTACTTATATGTTTGTTCACTATTCATGTGAAAAATCGACAGAACATGAACTAATATCCACAAAATTGTATGCAGCTTCCGGTAGTTGATTTTTATAATTCTCCTGTTTCGAAAACTAGAACTTTGCGAATTTTTAATGAACGCATAGTCTTCAAGACATACGTTGATCATGAAGCCGAAAACTTATCTTCACATATCCATATCAAATCAATTATAACCAAAAACCATCTACAATTTCTTACGCAATCTTTGTTAGTCAAAACAGCGAATGTAATAAATGTAGCTAATATAAACGGAACCAAAGAACAGAAACTACTAAAGCCATAAAAATGAAACCTGAGCTTAAAAACCAACATGAATTACGAATATCAACCCAGCGGCTGTCATACCGCTGAGTGTTTGAAATCCATGGGAATGGATAGGAAAATTTGGAGGGTGCCCAAACTATGACGTCGCGCCATGGGATGAAGGATAGTTGTGCTAGGCCAACATCCATTAGTGCGCCATAACTCCTTGGTTTGGGTCTGAGAGGTAACTCGAATCAGTGGTTCGACATGTCGTTGAACATGGCCGAGGACATCAGTCATTGATGAACTTCTTTCTTTTTTTCCTTCCTTCCTGAATGCAACACGAAGTAGCGAACCACTAACTGAATGCTTTCGATAAGTATGTTCATCATGGCGTCACTAATTGATTCCATTAAATTATCTTTATATTACCATTCTAATATTTTCTGTGTGGCACACAGGACTCAGTTTGTGTTCAAACAAATAAAGCAATCAAGCTAAAAGACAATAAAACTGTAGAGTCTGATTACAAAAATACACTTCTCGTGGTACAGTAAACAATGATGATAGCCTACGCTACATAAACCAGTAAAAGTAATTGCACGATTAGTGGGGCTTTTTGTGTGGACAATTTTCAAACTAATTTCAAACCACCATACTTCAAGACTTACTTAACTATGCGTTCGTACTCATCCTCAACTCCATTAGATTCCTTCCACTTTCTATAAGCTACTGAAGCATCAACATGAGCGGCTGAATGTATGTTTGGTTCATTTAATAGGGAAATTACACTTAAAAGCACAGTCCTAAAGAATATGAAGTTAGTGACTGTATACCGAACCTGACATTTTGTGTCGGATTCCACCTCTCCGAAGGCAGTTCACCACTTTGGGGATCATCTCCTGGCGAATGCAAAATTGATATACAAACCTCGCCATTTTCATATATGTTGGGGTGGTACATCCTACTTAGAAAGTGCATTGTAGGGGGACTATATGGATAGTCATCCGGAAAAGATAATCGAGCCTAGGAATAGACACAAATTGGACTCTTTACCTTAAAATAACCGCCTTCATATAAAGTCATTGGTGGCCCAAATATCGCAACGTCCCAGACGAAAAGATTTTCCTCTTCAGACACCATTACCTTGAATCCCTCAACTGGGAATTCACTGAGGTCTTTCAGTTCCTTCTGAAGTGCTTTAACGGCACTGGCCTTTACTGAAGACATTTCTTGGGCGCCTTTGCGCTTAGATTCATAACAGCCGCCTCTCGTTTAGAAGAACGATCTTTATATGATTAAATGCAAACCCATTAACCCCAGTCGTTTTTATTGAAAACGTGTAAGTTTAGCAGTAACAGCTCGCAGTTACTGTACCGAGCTACAATATAAAAATCAATTCTTTTCTGCACATAAGATTACATCAAATCCAGCTGAGTGTGAATATACTGTCGATTATGGCAGTAAAATGTTTCCACACATCCCATATCCAATATCGTTTTTACGAGCTAGTATAAACCAATTTGATTTCTCTGTGCTCGCTTCTTGATTGTAAGGTATAGATTCTTGATCCTCGGTGAACTTCTGAGTAGCTTGTCCCGCCACTCGACTGTCGTAGCTTTGGTTGACTCCAAAGGGAGTAGTGCTGGGATTAATTATATGTGGTTTGTAGTATGAGGTATGTTAAGACTATTACTACTGTGATTGGAGTTGATCCTTTCGCCAGTTAGTCCTCCGGTATCGTCGACAAGAGAAAAGAGATAATAATAATAGATATAATTAGTGAAGTTATTCACACTAAGAGACAGAAACGGAAGTAGGAAAGCGTAACAACAGTTAGCTCATTAAGTTTGAAGAATTATATATATATATATACATGTGTGAAAGTAAATACAAATTTTAACGCTTTTCTAAATTAAGAAATAATAATATTTTCTATCAAAACGTGTTCCTACACCTTGCTAAAAAGAAGCATCTGGTAATCGATTGTGTACATTTCCATAATGATAGAGTCAACATGCTTAAATCGCTGAATAAACACGTTTGCCACCACCTTCATGTTCTGACTAGCCTTGCAATGGACGTTTTCTCTTGACTGATCATCCCTCGTGATCTTGGTTTCAATAATTATTGGTGACTAGATTAACTAACCTCAAGTGAAGAAGCACTATTGGTTCGACGAAAAATGTTATTAAAATTTGTCGCATTAAGACCAATCCACGCTTTTAAGTAGCTGAACAGTAGAATAATTTTTCTACTTAATAAGTGTAATATATTATTTTTGAAAATTATAAGGCAACTCTATCTCATATTGTTTTTTAAATAACTTCAAGCATTTTTTCTGTGTCTAGTAAATGATCCGCTACGAGCTGGTTTTAGAGCCTGACAAGATACTTTCAATTCTAGATTTTCCCACTCAAATTTAAGGTGGCAACTGTTTGGGATATATATTTTTTAACATTCAACAGGCCTTCATTCCGCTAACCATTCGGGTCATTTTATTTGAAAATTTATGATCACAGTCTCATCCCAGTGCGCGTGCCATAGTAAAACCCATCAGTGACCGGTTGGCCTAGTCAAGAATGAAATGTGATATTTGCAAATGAGTACACAGATGATTGCGATTTCGGAGCTTGAAAGTTTCCCGATACACTATCACTAGACCCCGAAAATTCGATTTGCCTGTTAAAAGTTTTCAGTATGTGTACACTTTTCGTGCACATCCTTATAGGAATCGATGGATTCATGAGATTGGCCATGACCTTCTCTCTAAATGACATATCAGCTTAAAATATAGTTCCAGCCTTCCCAGATAGTTTGGTATCGATTTAGGACGTGTTGTCTAAACGGCCACAGTTCTGGTAGACCTAATTTCACTAATTCCCTTGGTACCTTGGCAAAACTTTATCTGAATGTATATTATTCAGGGATGGCTTAATAGGAGGGTAATACGGACAAACTAAGAGCTCCTTGATGGTTCAAAACAAAAAATTAAATGAACCAACACCCTGCTTCGATACTGCTGCACTTTTGACCAGCAGTAGGGGAAGGTTTCGGTACACACCATATCAACTTTTTGTCTTACAGCATTAACCCTGTTTAGTTAATTTGCTGCTTGAAATGGCTGAACAGTTGTCGGCCGCATATGCGCTTCGCTTGAGGCTTAACTTTGCCCTGTTCTCTTTCCATAGATACTATCTTGGTCCACGACGCTGAGAGAGAATGGTGCTGTCCTCTCAGTTAGTATCCCTGGAGGTGCTAAAATCACCAGAAACTACAATTCGCAGATACTCAGAATATTGTCGACACATTTGATGAAGATCGCAACAACCTCCACAATGAAATACCTAGATCGTTTCAAAACTGTACAATAGTAAAATCATGTGGCACCACAAGCTTTACCTTGTCGGCATTTTCGCGGTTTCGTTGATTCGAGTTGGGCGTATGCATTTGACGTGATTTTAGTGCTTATTTGGCTCTTGCCGGGTTAAATTATGTGGAAACTGTTGTTTGATATCTGTCTTAAGTATGTACGTATTGTTTGTGTGACAGGACGCTTAAATATGGTTCGTGCAAATGTACCGAGTATGCTTCGAGTACATTTCAGCGACTGGCTTTCGAAAAATCTCTTCGCAGCTAGTTGGTGACTTTTACTCAGTTGTAAATTCTCCGACCGGCTGTTGTATAGTACTTATTTCTGTTGCGGGAACTAAAGAATAAGGTTGAATTCGTTCTTTAGCACATTTGCGTGTTTTGATTGCAAAAAGTCAGTGAAACCCATAGATTCAAGCAAAAATTGGTGTCCATTTCTGGGCACAAACTGCAATATGTTTAACGGTCACACGCAACTTTCGCTGTTTTCTGCCAAAAATTTCAATTTTGTCAAAAACATGCATTCTAATATTTTGCTGGATTTCGATAACTTTAACATCGACATGGTCATGTACGCAAAGACATCAGAGGTGTGCGCGATTTTGTCCTATTATTGAGTTTGCTTACGTAGACCTCCGGATTTCTGCTATTGTCCTGAAGCTACATTATCTGGGTTTGTACGACGACAATTCACAGAATTATTTTGGAATCAGTTAGACTTAGCGTCCGACATTTATTAAGGCTACGGAGGTAACGTTTAGAAGCAGGTGCTACATCTACTTAGGGAGGACTCATCGATCTCTGCAAGTGAGGCTGGTTTCAGACCATATTCTTGAATGGCTTTAGGAGCAAATAGAATTCCTAGGGACTCTTCCTGGTGATGACAGGAGACCTACCTCTTCCATTGCCAAATATATTATAGAGGCAGGACGTCTTTTAAACCTACCCATCCACAAAACGTGTTGTCAATGTAGTTGAAGATTGGACGATCAATTCATCGTCGTTTGCTCAAACCCAACTTCCCCATAATTTCCGCGGGTCATCAGTCTGACAGTCATCCTCTCATTGTTCGCTGTTCAGAAAGATCAAAAACTGTCAGAAGTAATATCGTGATCTATTGTTGTAATATTTGTTCTTAGACCTTAGTCTGTAATGCCAGTATTGCTGGTTATATGTTGGCGTTAGAATAAAGAATTCTTGAGTCACCAAACAGTGTTATGGTTTTTGCGTCGGCTAGTACTGAGCGTTTCTGAAAATCTTCGAGGGAAAGCGTAAGGCCCAGCATAGCAAGAGCAGGGCATTAACGGTTTATTAGACTTGATTGACAGTTTCTGAGAGTTGGATAGTCTCCGTCTGTCTTTCCTGGTATCGGCCAAGTCTTCCTTGAACAAGCGTTATCTGGAACTTTTCTGGAATTCAGCCAACTTCAACAATGCCTGGGTCAAAGAAGGGAAAAAGCGTCTTGGAAGCAAGCAGGAAAGTAAGGCATGTTATCTCGTCTGTTACATGTAACGATGTGTTTGATGCTCAACAAAATGAGTCTGTTGTTCATGTTTCGAAGTCTAGGGATAATAGGAATATCACGCTTCCTAAGTACGGACCTCGGTGTTTCGATGGTAACCCAGCTGACTATCCACAGTTTGTAAAGGAGTCTCAAATCGTGTTGAGTAGTTCTTATTAAATGACGAAATGAAGTCGATGTATTTGATGAGGTACTGCACTGGAGTTGCTTCAAGAGCTATACAGTGCTGTAAGTTCATGCCCCAAAACGAAGGATATACTGAGACTATGAGTATACTGAGTCATAGATTCGGAAGACCTTCGACGATTGTAAGGAACGTTTTCGAGGCTGTTAAAGGTAGTGGTAGCCAATTGCAAGATGACTGCAAGGCACTCTCTGAGTTTTTGGATAATCTGTTGACTTACAAGAATACGTTGATTTCGATGAATTGCACGAGTGATCTGAACTGAAGTTCTGTCCTGGAGGTAATAGCGAGACGACTACCTATTCGACTGCAAAGGAAGTGGGTGAAGATAAGCTCTCGTATAGAGGATGAAGGTGTTGAGCCAAAGTTTCATGATATTCTGAAACTGGTAAAAGATGGTGTCAATCAAGCTGTCAGCCACGTCTCGTAAACCGTTAATGCCCAGCTCTTGCTACGCTGGGACTCACGCTGTTCCTCGAAGCTTCTCAGAAACGCCTAGTACGAACGGACGCAAAAACCAGAACCCAGTTTGGCGACTCGAGAATTATTTTTTCTAACACCAACATATAGCCAATGTACAACTAAGGTCTATGAACAAATATTACAATAATAAATCACAATATTACTTCTGGCGGTTTTCTCCTGACTTCTTTCTGAACAGCGACCGATGAGACGATGATTGGCTGATTGATGCCTCCGCGAAAATTGGGGAAGTTGGCTTGAGCAAACAACCATGAATTGATCGTTCAATCTCCAACTACACTGACACAAGCTATGAGACCGTCAGCATAAATGATCAGCGTGTAACCCACCTATCATCAGATGCTAGTGTTAAACTGGAGCTATTCATAAAAGATAGCAGTGGCGGTAAGCCTGCCGTTAGACAAACTTATAAAACACGGAATATACACATTGGGTCATAGGAGTAAATAAGAAGACAGTTGCAGCGAAGAAAATTTTCTTTTCGACGAAGTCATCATCTAGGCTGTACATTCGTGTATTTATATCAAATGGATGGGAAAGTTCCAGAATAATATCCGGTCAAGGGTCAAATTAATAAAAATTAAAATTGGGAATTAGAATGCCATAATAAACAGGGGGATGGATAAAACAAACAAAGTAGCATTATAATAACTAAGAAGACTGACATTG